GCTGTCGGGCCTTGTCGCACGCGCCCTACTGTGCTTGAGTGTACTTAGCAGACGGCTTACCCCTTTGCTTTGTCCGTGGTATGTTCCGGTCACTTAGTTTGCGTCGAAACGATATATACCCTCGATAATATATATCATCGCCCGTTGGGCCGGCCGCGTTTCCGTACGCCAGCGTTTTCTGGGATCCTAAAGGAGTTTACCTGCTTGCATTACTACGTACAACGCTCCAAGTTGCTGTTGCACTCGTTGCATCGAACTTTCGGCGAAGTTGTGCCCCCCCCCCTCCTTTTTTTTTCGCACTACGCTCACTTTTGCCGCCCGCCTTTCCCCTAATACGTTTACAGATATATGGGCCGACGGGGTCGCCAACGCCTCCGCCCTCCCAGCAGTACCTCTTTTTAGATGCGAAGCAGCTCTTCAACTAGCCAATGTAACGCTGTCCGTCCGTGTCTCCGTGCCAACGCGCCGCACCGTGCTCTGATTGTCGTAAGTGTAGGGGCGGTGTCTTGTAGGTCACGCCTTCCCTCGCAGTGACCGTCCGGTGACGTCAATCTCTTATACCCCTGTCACACGGCCACCACTAAACTCCGTTGAACACCGTCAACGTAAATCTCCCCTACGTGGTTCGACGGAGAAGGAGTTGTGGCAGTGTCACACGGCAATGAAAAGGTTGTAACAGTTGGCGCGAGGGGGCTCAGCTGGCGCTGTTTGATTTTCGGAAAAATATTCTAATTTCATCTCTATTGATATTTTGTGAATCCTCGTTCTAGGGTTTTTACAAAAAACCACTATTAAGGACGTAAGAGGCTAACAAACCATAAAAATATTTTCAAAGAAAAACGAATTCGCTAAATGTAGCGATGCTGCTAGTGACGCTGGCCACATTGTGCTTTTAGTTGTTTTGTTGCCTGTGTTCATGTTTGTGTAAGAAAGTTCTTGTGCTTCCTTGCCTCGTGAGCACACATTTTCTGTTCTTCAGCCATGAGTGACACAGCGACGACCAAAACCACACGCATGGACGAAATATTTTTCAATGGCACCGGCCGGCCCGACTCGCGAGGCACCACGTGCGAGGCACGAAGTGTAGAGCATCGGTGTTGAGAGTAAGTGAACTCTGGCGGGCGTAAATATATGTAACCAAACACGCGTTGTGAATGAGTACTGCAACGAAAGAACGTTTAAGATTGCCAAAATGTATTATTCTTTCACTGCGGCCACTTAGTGCTCGAAATTTTTCTCTGACCTCTAGACTGCTGGGGCGAGAGTACCTCGTTTCGCTGCGAAGGGAGATCGTTGAACGTCCTTTGCGAAACGCTCCGTTTACCTTCGTTTGGGTAAGGGTGGCCGTGTGACACGGACCGCATCTTCGTTGTCGTAAGGACGAGGGAGTTAAACGGTCTTCGCGGGTGCGGGTCACACGGGCACCCGCGTGACCCCTGTCGCCCGCCGCGCGCTCGCCGCGTGTCACCTCTCTTTCGCTTCACCCTATCCAGTGCTCGCAACGTTCAAACGCACATCGAGTGAACACTCTTTCGGCTCGTTTATCTGCGACGGAGAGGACGCCGGAAATCGAAGCTCCTTCGCCCGCCAACATGCGCCGAAGCGATTTGGCCTAACCCGGCCGTCGCCGGCGTTGCGATGTTGGGCAGAGCCGATCGCGTCGTGCCTGCAACACCTACGAGGCGCGATTCAAAAACGCTGATCGCGTCGGTGCGCAACGCTGCTGCTTCGCATCCCATCAAGGTTCCCTTTGGGAAGATGTCGTTAATTTTATGCACTGTATTCTCATTGTAATTGCCTCGGTGGGAGAGGGGGGGGTCGCTGCGGTGAAAATCGAACCGTTTGGTGAAACATCATTCCCCAGCCCTTTTCATGGATCCACGAAGGACCTTACGCGCCTCTATGGTCCACGGTGGTCACGTTTGCTGCTACTGCGGCAACAACGGCGAAAAACTGCTAAACCTGACTCCGCGGTGGTTAGGCTATTCCTTCTTTTGGAGCAAGAAAACTCGGCGAAAGGATGCGTTTTACGTAGAGGCAGAAAAGGAAAAAAAGCTCCAGTGGCACGGTACGGGGAAAAAAAATAACAGCAGTAGGGGAAGGGGATCTACAGCGATCGAGTCGAGAAGCCACATCGGGGAGACGAGGAGTGAGCCTGAACCGCGAGGAAGAGGGGCGGCGGCGGTGAAAACGAGCTTGGCCATTGCGTCGGCGTAAAGAAAAACAAGTCGAAGAAGAGGCGAACCGTCGGCGAGGATTAAGAGGCCCGAGAGGCGGCGGTGGCGGATCGGTGCTTGTCGAGGCAAGATAATCTGCGCGAATAACGGGGACGTCGCTCGTTCGTCCGTGGGCGACGTCGTCATCCTCGCACCACCGACGACGAATACGACGACGGGCAGCTGAGAGAGAGAGAAAAAAACCAAAATGCGATTAATAGGAAAACGGGATACAAAGCAAAAAACGCGAAAGGATATCGGCGGATAGCGGAGCGAACCCGATTACATCTGTTCCTAAATTTCAAAACGCCGCTCATGCATAACCAATGAGAAGGAAGAAAAACAGCGCCAGAAGCCGAGCCGCCGCCGCAAAGTCGCTCACGGTGCGACGAGCATTCGCTTTCCCTCCTCCTCTCTCTGCATGGCCTCCCGTTATCCCGGTGTTCCTTTTCTTTCCTTCTTTCTTCGCCGCATATCCCGCGCACATGTACACGCGCGCACGACAAAAACGCGGCTCTCTCGCGATCCCGAATAAGAGAGGGAAAAAAAAATGTAGGAATGAGCGAAATCCGGTTTTCCCTAACTAGCGCGATCCCCCCTGAGCTCCTCCACCGCGAAACAAGAATCATCCCGAGGAGCCGGATAAAATACGAGAGAGCAAATTAAAGAAAGAAAAAAAAAGGCGGGCTAAAAGCGTGTGTAGCTAACGGGAGGAAAAGTGCGCCGCACGCAAACGAGTTCTCTGATACCCCGGCCGAGGGCGCCGCAGCCTAAATCCGCGAATAATAACGGGCCCGTGGCGCGGGTGCCAAAGCCGATACTTACGAATGCGCGGATAAGCAGCGCCGCTGAGAGAATCAGCGGAGAAGAAGTCTGCGCATATGCGAACCGAGGAGGGAGAGGAGGTCGTCGACGACGAGGAATTACGCGCGCCTCGGCATATAGCTATCCGCCTCCGCAGCAGCGCACGCCCTCCCCGCCATCCACGGTGGTGCATGGCGGGGAGGGCGTGCGCTCCCCCCCCCCCTTACTCCCGCCAAACCTATATCCGAAACTAAAAGCAAGCATAGCATAGCGCGCGTGTTCTATATACGCGTATTATAAGAGCCGCGTGCTGCAGCGACGGCAACCCGAGCGCGAAAAGGTCGCGACTTCGCGCGCATTTCGCCGCGACGCAAAAGCAAGAGCTTTCACCTTTCTTCCCCGTCTTTATAGTTCTTTTTTTTTTTTTGCGTTACGCCGAAGGTATCGGCTCAACGGTTATGCCCGCTACTCGAACTGTATCCCGACGCGGGCGCGCCGGTGTTTTCTTTTGTAATGTTCCCGTCCTCCTCCTCCTCCTCTTTATCTCACACGCACGAACGCTCCGCTTTGGCCGCAATGTTGTCGTTCGACGTCGTTATTTCTGCGACCGAAGCTCAGCCGCCGATGCGGAGCGCGTGCGCGGTCTTAAGATAATGCGGCCGCCCGGGGGAGGGGGGGGGGGGCACTGCGGTGCGTAAGAGCGCATTCAGTCGGGCATCCGAGGAAAGCGAGATGAGCTGGCTGTATGCGCGTATAAGAGCGAAAAAAGAAAAAAAAAAAACGGGGAACGCCGAATTCAGATATGCGTGAACGCAATTCGGGCAGGTATGAACGCGAGTGCGTATTTATGGCGACGCGTACGAGACGAGACGGAGAGTCGGGATGAAACCTCTTCACCTCCGTTTTTTTTTAATATTTTTTTTTCCACTTGTGTCTAAGCCTTATTTGCAGATAACTTTCTGGGGGATTTGCTTTCGAGCGGAGCTTATGCATGTGTTACGGCGGCGCACGTCGAGCCGCAGGCGTGCCCACAAGGGTGGTAGGGGTGCATATGTGGGGACAACATCCGGGAAATGTTCAATGTAGATTATCGGTGTCAGTTCAATATCATTTTTGGAAGCTAGAGCTCAATTTGGGCGAGTTGGTTCATCATCATGATTGTATTGGTAGTAACAGAGTGACGATAAGAAGAGACAAAATTTGTTGTCCATTTTGTCTTTTGCTACCGCTGCCGTGCAGTTACTGCAACATAGTTTTCGGTATCTGATATTGTGGTGGCAAGTTTGGTAACCCTGGTTATATTGTGCATTGTTCCCCAAACACCTAGTTGCTTTCAAACTACACGTTGATTTGCCTCACCTGTGATGGTATAATGATCGGTTGTTATGTCGCAACGCTTTAGTGGGGACACCCTCTCCACTGACACCTCGTGAATCTGCCTCTGTTGCTCGTTGCTATAGTGGGCACGGCTTGCACTCGGGGTCTGTGAATTGAGCCGCTGATCGAGCTACAGGTCGAACCTTAGCCTTTGTTCAATCAAAACATTTGCTAGTGATGGATGTTGCTACGCTTCAAGCCCCCCACCCCTTCGATCCCGTATGATTCATTCGACCGTGTCTCAAGAAGCATTTCAGCAGACGTTTCAGCAAATGCCTCCTGCTTCGCCCGCCGTATGATCTGATTCATCTGGCCATAAGTACGTTCATGTTTTTAGTGAGACAGACGATGCCGTCGCTCTCGACGTATGCCCCGAATGAGTTAGCGCTCGGAGTTCAAGAATTGACCCGTTTATCGAGCTACCGGTCAGCCCTTATGGCAACGTTCAATAAGCTCATTCCCGATTTATTGACTAATTTATTGATTGTGATCGGTCACAACTCTACAGTGTCGAAGTTGCGTCCTCTCACCAACCTCGTTGACGGGCTTGTTTGAATTCGAGCATCGGGGCTGATGACATCGCGTGTGTGGGTTTGTGTGCAGGTGTGGTGCAGATCAAGAACTGGAAGCCCCTGTCGTTCGACCAGATCACCGAGCTTCCAGAGGCCACCGTGGGAGACATGCTCAGCGACCTGGTGCAGGTGGCCACGCTCAGGATACGCCTCTACAGGTGCGTCTCTCCTTTTCCGAGCAAGGCATGCCTGTGTACAGTACGTGCATAGCGAATGAGCTTCGCGCCATTTATCTGCAAGCATTTGTGTAGGCTCTCCTGCGGCGGCACTGTATGTATTCGATAGGCTCGCAGTGTTTGGCGCGTGTGCGCGGGGATTGTGAAAGTGCTTTGTTTTTGCCCGGTCTGCACTTCCGGCCCGGGACCAATGAGCAGTTAAGTGCATGCTTCCTTGAAATCATGATCAATTGCTACATGGATACATGCTTCACCAATTTTCGAAGACCTGACTGCAAGCCGTGTATTAACCGTGCGCTGACGACGGTTATGATTCGTCAAGTTTAATGGCGCAAAGCGCAATATGGCTGCAGAGCACGTGTCAGAGTAGTTCAGACTCGTGAGTTTGGGATAATGACCAACTCATAAATTCTATCGTAGTCAGGAGCGGTCAGTTATAGAGTATACCGCGTCAGTGGTCGTGAACGAGATGGACTGATCTTGTTTACAGGTGGATAAGAGAGGCTGACCCGCATTGTTCTAGCCTACTATAACTTCTACTTAAATAAATGTTAGGAGAAAGTATATAGAAATCAAGCGCTGTGCTTGTTTGAAGTGTAGAACCATTGGCTTTACCTGGACAGCCAATCAGATAATGTTCTGGTGCATGGCGACTGGCTACTGTACGTGCTTGTACGTATATGAAGTCAGGGGCATGCGGCTCGTTGGCTGTGTGTGACTGCCTGTAGAGATAGTATGCTTCGCGTAGAGTAGGCATCGGCGCTTTGTTCTATGGTATAATCGTACTGCATGTGAAAGTGAGACCTAGGTCTGCGATTGCACGAGCATTTTTGCATATATACATACCTCGCCTGTTTGAGGAATGTACACTGTGTCCGTGTCGTAGATAAGTTTTCCTTTTAGGTCCTTACATGGTGCAACTTGAGACAGAAAAAAAAAGACAGTGCAGGAGGCTTTCATCACTGGGTGAAAAGTATTAAGCGAACATGCAACTCTTTCTTTCTTTCTTCGGCTTCTTATTTGTCACGCCCTTTTCGACGCCCTGTCGCTTGTGGTGGGCTTCTCCAGGGCCCGGAGAGCCTGCTGTTACCGATCAGGGAGCCGGGAAGGTTGTGGCATTGTTGCTATTGGCATTTGGCTGCTTTCATTGCTGCTTTCAGGAGAGAAATAAAAAAAAGGCGTAACTTTCTTGCCAAGTGAATTCTTGCCGTTCTCTTCATCTCTGATGATGCGCTATTATCAGGTTCTTAGCGTCATAACAGCAGACGAACATGTTTTTCTTTGTCTCTCAATCGAGAAGAGTTCGTTTGTTTGAGGCTCAAGTGTCCCCGCTGTTATCTCGCACATGCGCAGGCTGTTTTTCAGTTTTATGTTTTCTCTTTGCCCCTCCCCACCCCCTCCCTACCGGTGCTATCTTGTCTGTCATGTGTGAGAACTAGAGTGAGCATGAGAGAGAGCGAGCGAGCAAAATGGGAGCGCGAGTACGCGCAGGACTCTTGAGGGGGTTCAAACCCCCCGCCCGGCGACCACCCAGTGTGGTGTTGTGTTGGTCGTTGCAGCCGGCCCAAGCCCAACGTGGTGAACGACGTGAAGGAGAAGCTCCTTCAGGTGCTGCTGGCTCAGTCGCACTCGCTGCTGCTGAGTTCTGGCTGCCCCATCGACCAGGTACGTATATGCGCTGCACACCTATCCCATAAAGATTCATGCCATGCACTTCCATTTTGAAAGTCCTGCTTGCACGAACCTTCCCTCTAATGCTTCCGTAGCTTGTAGTGCTGCATGACCCACTGCGATTTGTTGCCAGACGTGAGCTGGCCCGAAGGGCGCATTTTGCATTGCCGTTTACAAGGGCAAAAATAAACAATGAAACAAGCGTGGTACTGGCAGGGTCCGAATTTCGGTTTGCCCTGCATCAACGCTTTGTGGTGCGCGCTCAGGAATTTAATTGTCTGATGTGCTTCGCCTGCTGTTTCAATACGGACAGATGCATCCTTTTGATGCACTCATCTGCGAAAATGTTTTCTAGCGGAATGTCCGATGGCACTAGCTATTTTTCTTTTTTCATGGTTACGGTTTGTGCTATTTAGTGACATAGATCGAAGGCCTCGCATGCTAGTAGTTGAGCTGCAGAAAACGTAGTGGGCGTATGATTGTGCTATAATGTCTGCGAATAAAACTTCGTGAACGTGCGCTAACACATTGCGCCCGATTGTTTTGAATGTCATTTTCTTTTGTTGCCCTTCTCTCCCCCTTCGTCCCTGGCATGCCACACGATGGACCCCGCCCCCCATCCTCGGCACAGACTACGCTGGCGGCTCTGACCAAGGGCAAGGCCGAGTGGGAAATCTCCGAGGACACGCGCAAGAAATTCGACCAGTGGTATCTGCACCAGGTGTTCCAGCACTGTCGCCAGGTGGCACTTCTGCAGCACCAGCTCCAGCAGCAGCAACTTCAGCAACAGCAGAAGCATGCCTCTGTGGCCGTGCCGCCGCCTCCCCGGCTTCTGCAGCTGAGCCTGTCCCAGCCGCCCCTGCAAACGCCGCAGCCCCCGCCGTCTTCTTCCTCTTCTTCGTCCATCGCTGCTCAACCCGTTAGCTTAATCACGACGCCGTCGCCGGCTGGAGCATTGCCAGGGATGCAGCAGTCGCAGCAACCGCCGCAGACTCAGCACCCAGTGTGCCTGCAGCAGTCCCTGACCTCCGGTGGCGGCAGTTCCTCGTCGCGGACGCGCATCCGCACATCCTTCGACCCGGAGCTCGAGCTGCCCAAGCTGCACCGTTGGTTCGCGGAGAACCAGCACCCGTCGAGGCTAACCATCCAGCAGTATGTGCGCGAGCTGAACTCGCTGGACTCGCGGCGCGGACGCAAGCCCCTCGACGTGAACAACGTTGTGTACTGGTTCAAGAACGCGCGGGCGGCGCACAAGCGGGCCGAGCTCAAGCTCTTCTCCGGCGTCTCCTCCGGCTCGCTGGGCAGCGCCCTGGGCGACGGCGGCCCGGCGTCTTCGGCGCTGAGCAACGGCTTCCTGCCTCCGCTGCGAAGCCCTGCCTGGGACTGCGGACTCGACTCAACGCAGGACTCGGAAGACGGCTTCCGCCAGCACAGGAACAGCAACGGCTTCTCCTCGTCCATGGCGGCGCTCGGCGGAGCCGCCATGATGATGCAGGAGGACTCTTTCGAAGACGACGACGACTCGCCGCCACCGAGTCCCGAGGCGACGCTGGACCTTTCGGTGCGTGGCCGCAACGGGGACCTGGTCAAGGAGGAGCCCCGGGACTCGCAAGGAAGCAGCGACATGGAAGAGGACGAAGGCGGTGGGGGCGGAGGAATTGCGGGCGGCGGCGACGATACTCCCCAGGACAGCGACGACGACGAAGCGCGGTGCCACAGCGGCGCGACGACGGCGTCTTCGGGGGTGACGTCAGGGTCGTGCGCCGCGGCTCGCGTCGACTCTCCGGGTGGGCTCCGCGACGAGCGGCGCAAAAGAAACCGGACCTTCATCGACCCGGTGACCGAAGTGCCGCGCCTGGAGCGCTGGTTCGCGCTCAACACGCACCCGTCGCACGCGCAGATCGTGCGTCACACGGACGAGCTGAACAGTGCGCCGTACCGGAAGCGGTTCCCGCGGCTCGAGCCCCGCAACGTGCAGTTCTGGTTCAAGAACCGCCGGGCCAAGTGCAAGCGCCTCGCCACCGCTCAGCCACAGCGGCCTTCCTCCGCATCGCCGGGCCCCAAGTCGGCGGCGGTGGGAGGAGGGTCCGGTGGTGGTGGCGACGTCGCTGCTTCTTCGGCGAGTGCGGCGAGCTCGCCTCGGGACATGGGTGTCCGGTCGCCGCCGCCACAGCAGGCGAGCGGCCAGTGACGTCGCAGGTCGCCGCCGTGCGGGAGGACTCCTAGTCAGACTGCGGCTGGCCGCGCCCCACGCCTTCTATACGCCGCGCGCGCGCAGTTTAACGCTCACCGTGCTTGCTCGCTCTCTCTCTCTCGCCAGCTCTGTCTCACTCTCTCTCTCTTACGCTCGATCGTTAGACAGCCCAGTGGCTACCCGAGGTGTGGTACGGGGTGGTGCTTAGGGCAACTTGCAATCAAGCCTTTGTCGAAGGTCGCGCTGGAAGGTCCTTTTGACCAATGGTCCACCATCTGGCGTTTCTACTAGGGAGTATTTACACTGGAGTTGTTGGTTGGCGTGAACTTTGACACAGAAATTTTAAAGTTCCTTCACGGTGGCTTGTGTTACAGCTGTCATAACTTTAACGAAGACTGATGCGGCATTTGCTATTATGCGCATAGGCATGCAAACCGAGGCACCTTTTGTTCATCAACTTCATAGCTGGTAGCACTTACAACTAACTGGTCATGCCCAAATTACTCCGAGCATTCCCAGTGGGAGATGACAGGGGCAGGGTCGCTTTGCTATGGCCAGCTAATTTTGTTTTTATTTCTATGAATTACGCATAAGCTGTAAATACGCCCTTACTCTTTGGTCATTAGCCCTCTGCCAACTTTTATTCACGCTTAATATAAAATGGTGTTGTAATGCATAGACCAGCTAAGTATTACCAATTTCACATTTTACATTTCTGCATCAGCCTGTTGCAATTTGCATCCATGGATATTTAACTGTGAAATCGCCCACTTCTCATTCATGATTGTTTTTTTTTATTTGTTTTTTTTTATCGTGTGGTATTAGAGAAAAACAAAGGTAGTGAAAGAAGTAAAACCTGATTCTCAAAACAGTTAAACATAGTAGTGCGAACTATATCTTTCATCTTTGCCTTTTCGGCGCTACAATCGCAGGGCAAAAGGTAGGAAAGAGACATCTTAAAGTAGTGATCTCGGCGTTACACATTTTGCCCCGCCGCGGTGGTCCAGTGGCTAAGGTACTCGGCTGCTGACCCGCAGGGCGCGGGTTCGAATCCCTCCTACGGCGGCTGCATTTCCGATGGAGGTGGAAATGGTGTAGGCCCGTCTGCTCAGATTTGGGTGCATGTTAAAGAACACCAGGTGGTCGGAATTTCCGGAGCCCTCCACTACGGCGTCTCTCATAATCATATGGTGGTTTTGGGACGTTAAACCCCACATATCAATCAAATCATTGGCGTTACACATGTCTTCTGAATGTCACCAATATCGATGCCAATTTTACATGGCTCGAGTTGTTTGCAGATGGCGGTTGGGCTAACGGTAACCGGCTTGCCGTTTCACTCTCATTTCACGGTGGCAAAGTTCCAGCTGAAACACGTACATTTTTAACTCACCTGTTGTTTCTTTCCCTTTTTTTTTTTCATAATCTGGGGCAATATTAATTCGCATGCAATGCTCGCATCTTGAGAGCGGGTTTCTTCAACGGAACTGTAACCGTCAGCACATCCAGTTTTTACCACTCGTAAAAGTTACATTCCTTCATGTTACCCAGTAGCATTACGCTGCGGTCTTTGTCATCGGGCAGTCCAACTTTATTCTCAACAACTCTGCCACGACGCTCTCATTTCGCCCAGTAGCGATTTAAAAGGCTCCCTTGGACCTTGCGTAGAATTTCATCCGCTTGACAACAGAGGGAAACTACGATTAAAAGCCTCCCCTGTTCTACGTTTCATAGGTGCATCGGATTCCTTTTTACCATAAACAACAGCAATAAGTCTCTTCTCCTCATCGAGTTTCCGCGCGTCGGGACCACTCATTTGCCCTTCGACGAAAACTCCGTGATGTGATGTCTGCAGTTCAGGGAAGGGCTTTCTGCTTGGGAGCTTTCCAAGGAAACTGAGAGAAATATTGACATTTCATGCAATAATTAACAATGACGATATGAATAAACTGTAATAGTTGCATAGGCCCGCGTTTTTGGCGGTCAGGCCAGCCAATGTATAGGCATTGTGCCCTTCACTTTGTAAGCGATGCCCTTTTCCTTTTTCTTTTTTTAGACAAGGACATTTCGATATAAAGTTCGGGGTTGTAGTTTTGTTTTAGCACACTTCATAGTTACGAGTTTAGCACGTGTTAAATAAAAGAAGGGGTATTGTGTTACGGTAGCCTTTAGTAATTGCGGCCCACAGTTTCACTAATGCCACATTTGCTGTGGGCGTGTTACTGGGGAAAATCAAGATGTCTCCTGCATTTGTGTTTACGCTCAAAGGGGTGGCCTCTTGATCTTCAAACTGCAGTTGGTACCAGCAGTGAAATGAATGGCATGCTGCAGGGACTCTGTTTATTTGTGTATGCCGTCTAGCCTTTTTTTGTTGTTAAAAGCTTCCAAGCTTATCATACGTGAGCCACACAATTCTTTCCAATCGCATCGCTCTCGATTGCTTGACTTTCTGAGCTTTTCTATAGTTCCTCCCCGGTGTCTGCAATACTGGCAGTCCTCTAGCCTCACTTTCGTTATTTCCTCTCGGCCGTGTAGACGTCGTTGGTCTGTGGCCATGTTGGAGGGAATTGAGGTGTGCTTGTTCACAAGGCTGCCTACCACCACCCTATTGGGCTTCTCGTGATCCTTGTAAAACTGTTTCTTTCAAAGGTGTACTCGTTTCTGGTAGTGCGTGTATGTGTACGAGTCTGTCCCGTTCAGGAAGTTGATATCCACGTTCACTGTCTCTCGTACTGGAGATACAAGACTACAGGTTCCTCTGGGTCAGTGATTTCGTGTCCCCATATTTCTCCAGTACTTAGTTACAAACTGCTTATTGGACCTGTCATTACGCGTATTTCATTTTACGGAGCACAGAAGCTCCTAACACGCGACCGTGATCAGCGGGGCTAGTTGTGCAATCTTGTGTGAGTTAGGTCCACCACGTAGTGTGGCTTAGCAAAATGTTCTCCTGGGGGGGGTGGGTGGGGGGGGGGTTAGTTCATGGCTTTTTGAAGGGAAAGTATTTCAGCCCAAAGCAACACACGGACAGACAACGGTGCCCATGAACCCTTTGTGTGTTGCTTTACGCCATTTTTTTCCCCTTCACGCGGCGTGGACGTGCAGTTTTTGTTGAAGGCAAACAAAAATAAACTAGGAATTTGTAATTAGACTGGAGATGACTCATTTAGAGTAGCAGCCGTGCAGCACATAGCACTTAATTGCAATATACATCTGTGCTTTGGTTGAATTTGCTGTCACGAGATGATACTAACCGGCATAAAGCTGCCTGCTGCAATGAACCTCGCCTGGTGCGCCGGTACAACGCAGTTCCGAGAGGCACGGGATAATGGTACGTTCAGGATGTCCCATAGAGACTAAGACAAGTACCAAGGTGTATGCAAACTGATAGCGTAAGTTCCATAAAAGCCCGTGGGTCCAGTAGCTGGCGGCTCGTTGCCATCGTCGCCATCTACGTGTGGAGGGGACAACTAATAAGAAATAAAAAAAAATAAATACGCCGTCATAACCAGAAGCAGTAGCTTTGTCGTGCATTTGCCCCACATGGCGCGAAATTGAAATTTTTTTTTTTTTGATTGCTGACATTTCACTTGTCGTATTAAATACCCGATTTTATGGCGCCTGATGGTTCGCGAATTGCGTGCGCTAGAGAAAAGGAAGACCAACAAGAAAAAGAAAAAAAAACTGAAGAAGCAAGGTTGTTTCATTGGCCAAATAGTGTACTTGCTATATATGACGAAAACTTTGCAGATGAAATTGTTACACTACTCTTCACGAGCATAATGGTATATTAGTTCGAGAACTCGCGTTGCCCAGTCGTGGAAAAGCACTGCAGCGAGACAGCAGCCTGGAGAATATCGCTTTGGCAACCGTAGAGTACAGCGTCTCGTTGTTTGCGCGTCGCATTCACCGTCACCAAAGGCTAGGACATGCCGGCCGTGAAACAACGAAGGCAGTCACAAGAGCGGCTATCTACTCACTCTTTGAGGTAGTTAAGCTCTGCAATCTTGCGCCAGTGAACAGCACATCGGCAAACAAATGAACCACGGAAGGTACGCACGAAACTAGCACGCAAAAGCGAGCGATGCCTTGTTGACCCCGCAATGAGCTGAGCTGAACACAAGCCTTGGGAGCAGATTGCCTTGATACGCACCCCCCCCCCCCCCCTTCCTCTTCTGGCACTCGACAACAATATGAGACAATCAACCATTTGGTCAAGTTTCAGATAAATCGTAAGTTTATTGTTAACTTTGGCATATAGTAAATTACGACTATTTAAAAAAATTCTTGTTGGGTTTTTGGTTTTGGTTATTTGTCCCCTCCTCATTTAGTCGCGCTTCAATTGTCGGTGGGTGTCAATGCCTGTGGCAATAGGTTTTCGACACTTTTCGTTCCAAGTCTCGCGACCCATTTAGTTTGCCCGTGCAAGTGCTTTGAACCCACTCAGGACGCGGCGGCGGCATTTTCGATGGCGGCGAAAATGCTCGAGGCCAGCGTGGGTCCACCGAAGAATCGTAGGTGGTCGAAATTTCTATAGTCCTCCACGACAGCGTCTCTCATTATCGTATCGCGGGTTGGCGACGTGAAACCCTGACAATTATTAACCCACTAACAACTTCTGGTGTGCTTGAACTCTATCTGTAGCATGTAGCAGCGGTCATATTAAATTGCGATCAACAAGTTAGTTCTGCACCTAGCCCAATCGCGGTCACATTTATGCTCTATATGCAGCACACATGAAGTTTCGGCATACCCCTGGTTACGCGAAGGACACACTCGACGGCAGCATGAAAATTACTGAAAGCTACGAAAAATAAGGCTCGCTCGCGTTTCAGAAGAAGCTTCGCAATCGAAATAAAAATAGACTCGGTTTTTAACGTGAGATGAACGCTGAGCACGACTAACATCCCTGCATGCTGCAAGATTATGTGCGTGGCTTTGCCGAAAGTACAGGCTGCTTATTTTGGTAGCCCAGTAGCTCT